CATGGTTCTGCTCACAGGCCTCGGCCAGCCCTCTCCTGCATGGTGGGAGTCTGCCCTAGAGTTGGGGTCAAGCAGACACTTTGTAGGCCTTCCCAAGCTCCCAGGGCATGGTTCCTCATTAGCCACACAGATCCCCCCCCCAACCCCCATATGGGTAGAGGGCTGACTAGATGAGGTCTTGGTTTTGAAACTCAGAAGCTCCACTGCCCCCCAAAACAAGGCTTTCTGAGTTCTCTGTATGGAGATGGAAAGACTAAGGCCCGGAGAGGTGATGTGACCTGCTCAGCATCACATAGCACGCCTGAGTGTCGGCCCTCAACATGCATAATTCCAGGAGTTTGCAGCTCTTCTTGGGGGGATTGTTTTTCCTCTCCTTTAAGCTCTTTTCTTGTTCTCTTTTGCTCTCAAGCACCACCACCCCTCAGAAACTCTAGAACCCCAGAAGTTCTAGGACACAGTTTCCCTTCTGCCAAAGCGATCCTCACTCTGGTCCTCTCTCATTATGGTGGCAGAGAAGCCTCTTCCTCAGGCATCCTGCCCCTGGGGTGTGGACAAGGCCGAGGCATGAGATAGCTGCACCAGTCTGCCATGAGTGTCTGGAGCAAGCGGTGCCGTCCATCCCTCCCCCAGCTCCGCTACAGTCTGTCGGAGCTCTTGGCAGTCATGCTTTGCCCTGGAGCAGAGCTCTTCCTGCCAGGCCCCACCGCACCCACCTCTGCCTACTTCCACCTGGGCAGTGAGTGAGGAGGGCCTGCTAGTGCGCTGGCTGGGCCAAAAATCTAACTTCCCGTCCCTTCCCGCGTGCCTGCCTTCCTTTCTCCCTTTCCTTCTTTATCCTCCTTTTGTGCAGGGCCTCTGCAGTGGGCCATGTCTCCTGTGCTATGTATTTATTCATTTATTTATTAATTACTTATGTAGTGGTGCTAGAGACCGAACCCAAGGGTACTGTGCCATTAAGCCACATGAGCTACGTGTGTGTGTGTGTGTGTGTGTGTGTGTGTGTGTGTGTGTGCGTGTGAAACATGGTCTTGGTAAATAGCTAGATTTGCCCAGGCTGGGCTTAAAGTTGTACTCTTCCTGCCTCAGCCTTCCAGAGTCCTAGGATTACCAGTCTGCATCACAGGCCTAAAACTATACTTCCTGAGCGGAGTTGAACCTAAGGCCTGGTCACACACTTGGATACCAAGTTGCCAAGCACTGATGAGAGCCCAAGAGCAGCAGCAGGGGAAATGCAGAAAGAGAGAGAGCCCACTCTGCCCTTCCCCCTTAGCTGCCAGGTTGCCAGCTCTCTGGCCTTCTTGTGCTAGCCTGGCCCAACCCGACCTGCCTGAGAAAGAGAGGAGGAGGGACCAGTTACAGACAAGTAGCCAGTCTGTGCTGGTGACTTGTCTCTGACCTGAGTTCATGTCATGGCCAATGCCATAGGAAAGCCTCTCTTCCTTCCTCCATCTTGAGTCAGGGGCCCAGGGGTCACAACAGCTAAGCAAAGGACTGAGCACCCAACTCCAGCTGTAGCCAGAGACAGAGCCACTTACAAGTGGATGGCTTGTTACCTGATGAAAGACCTGACTTTTCTGCAGGAAATCAGAGAACTGAGCCCCACCCAGAACAACCTGAGCGTGACCCAGCTTTTTCTATAGCACATTCTTTAAACTCATCTCCTGTGAGCTGAAATTGCCGCAAGAATAACCAGAGTAGTCAGGCAATAGCGTGCACCTGTAATCCCAGCACTCTGGGAGGTTGAGGCAGGAGCCCAGCCTAGGCAATTTAGCAACTTAGAGAGACCCTGTCTGGAAAAAAATAATAAAAAAGGGGGCTGGGGATACAACTCAGTGTGGAGATTCTGGGTTAATCCTCAGTGCCAAAAATTGAAAAAAGGAAGGTAGCATTGCAGGGCCTGGGCCCCTGGAGTCAGTATGGTCACCTTTGGTGCCGTGAGAAGCAGAGTGACCTTGGCTCTGGTGCAGGCCGCCTGGTGCAGGTGGCTCGTGCAGCCGTGCTGGGCTCAGGATACTTCTGGCAGACAGCAACCTGGAGAGTACAGGGCTGAAGGCAGGAAGGCTGCCAGGAGGCTCCCTGTGTGTGGGAGGCAGTGCAGCTGTCCCCATCCCAGACGGCCCTTCTGGCTTGTTGGGTGAGTCAGGACTTGCAACAGGTCTGAATGTGCTGGGGTGAGCCCAGCCTCCAACCTCTTCCCTAGACCTCCTCCACGGTGTCCCAAAGGCCTTCCATCTCAACTTGGAGGCCAGCTCCAAGCCTTTCTGCTGGCCATTGTTCCAAGGCCTGCTCAGCCCTGGCCCTGGGCAGATTGGAGCCCTCCCTGGGGGCCCAAGATGGCCTGGCAGTGTTCTGACAGGTAGCTCTGAAGGGGAAGAGCTGTGGGCCCTGGGGGCCAGGAATGTACACCTGACATCTGGGCCTTACCCATGTCCTACTAGGCAGGTGGCACAGGCATGTTTAAGTGGGGAAACTGAGGCTCATGACCTCACGGTTTTGACTCACACTCACAGGAAACCCTCTCTTCCCACCTCCATCCTGAATTGTGGTGCCTGAGGCTGACATCAGCCAGAAAGTGATGGGGACACTCAACTCTAGTTACAGCCCAAGACTCTGTGGCCTAGAAAAGGGAGGTCGCCATGTGCTGATACACCCATGAATGTGGCATAGTGGCAACTGGCCTGTGTCAGGCAGGCCTCGTCCAGCCCCTGCCAACGGGACTGGGCCAGCTTTGTCTAAGGAGACCAAGGCGAAAAGGTGTCTGGGAATGAGCAGGCTCTAAGGTCCTAGAGAAGAGCAATGGGATGGGAGAGCTTCTGCTGGGCTCCCACGGACTTCTCAGTTGTGGGGTAGCCCTAGACCTCTCTTGTGGTTCTGCCCCTGCCTCCGAGCACTGGTAGGCCCAGGACAAGGCGTGGTGGCAACCAGCTGAGTTGGGTGCTCTATTGTGTTCCATGCACTGTGCTGAATTGTGACACACACCCAAGCCTGTGAAGTTGTGTCCTCTATTCCTATTGGCAGAACCAAGGACTGGTCTGCCAGCAACTGGAACCAAGCTCAAGGCACGTGGCAGTGCTGCAGCACCAGCCCAGGTCTGCCTTTCCCTTACTGCTGGGATCCAGCTTCACTTAAGGGTCCTGCCAGTGACAAGGAAATCAGGCAGCCCCTTAATCTCTCCAGGTGTCGCTGTGACAGCTCCCCTTCTTCTCCCTGCCTGTAGCTCTGAGGTCTTCTCCTGTCCCTCCCTGTGTAGCCCAGAACCTCTTGGATTACCCTGGCCTGAGTACCCTGGCCCTGCTCTCAGGTGTTTGTCAGGGCTGCCCCTGTTGGCCACCACTGCTCCCAAGGCTATGAGATGCTAGCTCTCGCAGGTGAGCGAGCATATGCTCAACAATGCAGAAGCCCCAAGTCCAGCCAAGGGTGCCTTAACTGCCCCCCCCCCAGGCATGTAGGCCATGGGGAGGGCACAAGCCTGACAGAGCCCTAAGTCCTCCATTTGCTGGACAGATGCTCCAGGCCAGGCCTACAGAGGCTGAGCCCCTGTGGAGGTGGCAACTGTGATTTAGCAGCTAGTTCTGTGAACCCCAGGTGAGAGCAGGAGAGAGCATGCTGGTCTGACAGTGTCTTTTCCAGAAAAAGCTAAGACTCAGCAGCCTTAGCATCAGCAGCCACAAAAACCAATGCCAGATGGCAGGGCTTCTCTGGACACTCCATTTCCAAGGAGATGCAAACACGCAGGGAGTATTGTCTTGTATGTAGACATAGCTGGGGCGGAATCCTCTTACCTTGCACCTACAGAACCAGCTATAAATGACCCAGCACTCCTCCCCCTCCTCCCTTCAGTGTGGACTGGGGCCAGCTGGGAAATTTAAAAGCCAATTCAAGGAAGGCACCTGACCTTGGGGAGGAATGTGGGAAATGTCTGCTGCCTAGAATAGCCACCCCCCAGCTGGGGCCCAAGAATGTAGGCTCCAGGCCACCTGTGGCCCCCAAGGGAGGTGTGCACATACTGTGTGGTTGGAGGGGAATAGGGTGCAGGGTGTGAGTGATGCTGTTGGAGGCTTTGTAAGGTTACCAGCTAAAACACTCACATAGTGTAAAGGGTGAAGTGGAATTGTTAGTGCCACCCTCCCCATGTGGCACTAGCACTGTGTCCTTGGTGATCTGATCTCCTCTTGGGATGTCTAGGGCACTGTCTCTGACTCTCTGTGTTCCCTAGAGCCTAGGGTGACAGATACAGATGCAGCTTTCAACTCACCAGAACTGAAATGAATGGTGACTGTACCCATCCTATTTACGGATATGGAAGCTATGGCCAGACAGGATACTAGTTGACCAGGTGACTAACTATGGACCAGGGCCTAGGGCTCTGGTATGTGTGCTTTCCCCACAGTCCATTCTTGCAGGTCAGTACCCCTTCTCCCAGGAGAGAGACTCAGGTGGCTTCTTCCAACTCCCATGGGGCTCCTGCTGGGAATCTAGCATGTGCCTTCTGGGCTACCCTTCGGTGGGAACTTCCAGGAGTGGGGCTGCAGCCACAGAGCAGACACTGAGGGTCCTGCCTCTATGAAAATACACACATTGCAGTGCCTGGCGAGCAGATGCTCTCTGCCCTGGCTGGAGGTATTGGCAAAAGACCGCGATGCCTAGGGCTGAACCTTGAGACAGGGTTTGGAGTAATGACTCTGCTGCCATCCAGTGGCCACACTTGGGTAGACGGCTGTTATCCAGGCTTCCAGTTTGATCATCTGCTGCAAGCAGAGGCAATCTCTCTCCCATTAGCAGTCTAGGCAGGCAGGATGGGGCTGGTGAGGTGGGTGTCATGTCACTTAGGTCAGAGTGTTGGCTACACAAAGTAAGGCTGGCTTTTTCAATATCAAAACCTGGAGGAAGAAGGCCTCCAGTCAGCAAATGAGACCCAGCCTGTGCTACCTAGAAAGCTTAGTGTCGGGTACCTCAGTGGCTTTCACACAGGCAGCCTAATCAACCAACACCAGACAGGATGGTTTGAAAATTTAGAGGTTATTTATTTCTCAGGAAGGTCCACACAGCTGGCAGGCACTGCTTTCTCTGCTCTGGGGGATTCCTCTTCCCCATTCTAAGAAATGCCCTCTGTGCTTGAAGTGCCCATGGGGAGGCTGAGATGTGAACAGAAACCATCACAACACTCCAGAGCTTAAAAAAAAGAAAGCAACAGCAGCCTCCTCCCCACAAATACACACATACAAAATAAATAGACATACAAAAGAGGCCACACTCTTCCCACTCAGCCATGGGCCTGCTCAGGACAGTGGGGCTGGGAGCTCCCCATCCCACTTCTCCCAGCCAGGATATTCCAGAGGCTACACAGGATGGAAGTACCTGATGAGCCAAGGATAAGCCCTGACTTCAGAGGGAAGACCAGGCAGGTCCTCTCCCTGGAGCTCAGGAAAGGTAAGGGAGAAAGGAACAAATAAATAAATAAAATAAAATAATTAGGATCCATCATGTACCCAGAGGCAGAAGGGCTTGGCCAAGGCTCACAGCCCCTGGGGCCAGTTCCCTGAAAACACAAGATCCAGTGACAATCAGGCAGAGAGTAGCAGGGGAAAACACAAGTCCAAAGCCACACCCAGCCTCAAAGCCTTCACATCCTTCAGACCATGGCAGGCACATCCTTCAGACCATGACAGGCACAGCCAAGCCCCAGTAGCTGGGCCAGCTCTGCAGAAAGAGGGGCAAGGCATAGGCTGAGCTCTCAAGTGCTACACTGAGCCTATTCTCTGGCCCTAGACCTGTCTGGAGGCTGAGGAGCCACCGTTTCCTGCACTCTCAGGGCCAACACCACCTCTCCCTTGCTCGCCTTCTTCCTCTCTCCATGGGAGGCCATGGATGCCTCCGGGGTAGTTCTTTCCTAGGGAAGCTGAGGCAGAGACCTGGCTTTCTCTTGTTCTTGCTGGCCTTCTTGACCTGGGATATCCTGAGGTCAGCTGGGAGAAGTCCTGTAAATAATCAAAACAACCCAGTCCTGGTGTCCTCTGCTCTATTCGGCCACAGAGAGAAGGTGTCAGACAGAAGCAGGAACAGAGGCTGGACGGGCACAGCTGTGATGGACAGGCTGGGCAGGAGGCCAAACCGGACAAATGAAGAAGTCCAAGGGACTCTGAAGTCCCAGGGTCTCTCCTAGAGAAGTGTGGTCAGCAGGAGGCCAGGGAGCACAGGGCAGGCCAGGCTGGCTGCTCAGCTGGGCAGCAACACGTGCTCCAGGAGGTAGGTGAGGGAATCCCAGTGCTTCCAGAGCAGGAAGAGGACGAGGACCAGGAGGGCGGTGCTGGTGATGCGCATGCGCGTCTTCATGAGGGGCGTGATGAAGTTGGCAATGGTAGACACGAACACCAGCAGCACGGCCATAAGCGCCAGGATCACGTTGATGAACTTTCCCAGCAGGGCCCGCGCATTGGCATTCTCCACGCCCTCCAGCTGCACCACCTGCTGCTGTTGCTGCTGCAGCTCCAGCTTGGTGACTCGGGTCAGGCAGGACTCCACAGCCTCCTGCAGGGACGGGAGCCATGGATGGGCACAGTTTGAGTGTGGTCCCCCCAGGGTGCACAGGCTGGAAGCTTGGTCCCCAGTGTGGCAAAGCTGGGAAAGTGGGGAATCTTTAAGGGGTGAGGCCTAAGCCTGGCAGGGGTGTACACGCCTGTAATCTCAGCACACTGGGAGGCTGAGGAGGGGGATTCCACATGTGAACCCAGCCTGTGCAATTTAGTTGAGATCCTGTTGCAAAAAATAAAAAAAGGTCAGGTGTGATAGCATACACCTGTCATCCTAGCACTCAGGAGGCAGAGGCAGGAGGACTGCCGCCAGCCTGGGGCACATCAGAGTAAGTTCAAGGTCAGCCTGAACTATGCAGCAAGACCCTGTCTCAAAAAACTAAAAATAATAAAAATAAAATAAATGGCTGCTTAAAGCTGGAGCTCATTATGAAGCTCTGGGCTCAACTCTTAGTACTTCAAAAAGAAAAACAGACAAACAAACAAAATTTGTAAGTGGAGCCCAGTGTATGCAATCAGGTCACAGGAGCACTGCCCTCAGGAGTGACTAAAGGTGGTCAGCAGAGCGAGTGAATTCCTGCAAGAGAGGGCTGCCATAAAGGGGCAGGTCTGATCCTGAGCCTCTGGGGTTCTGGCCACCGTGGAATCTCTTCTGTGCAGCTCCTGGCACTGTGATGCCACCCACCACCGACCCTCACAGGAAGCAGAAGCTGCCACAGGCTGCTGCTCTTTAGAACTGTAAACCAATCCCTTCACAGACTACCCAGCTTTCTGTGACAGAAAAGGGAGTAACATGCCACCCCAATAAGATACACAGGGTCTCTTCCCCAAAGGCCAGGAGAGGCATGGGCTGGTCAGCTGCAGCTGGGGCAGTCTTTTCCTGTGACTTTCCAGGACAGCAAATGGGAATTCTGATTAAGAAGGACACAGAAGAACTGGCCCAATCCCAGCTCCTGCCTGAGGGAGCTGAGGACTATAAATGGTGACAGCTATTCATTTGCAAGGATCCCTTCCGGAGGCGAATGGGCAGTCCTAGCTGTGGACTCTCTTGGCTGCAGGCCTCCTCACTCCTTCCCTCCACCTACTGTCCTCACCATCCATGTTCCCCTCATCCCCGTTCTACTGCCGCAGCTCTGTCAGCACACCCAGGGCTTTCCTGGAGTCATCCCTAGCCATACCTGGATGTCCCGAGCCCTCTCGTAGGACTGGTAGGCCACCTTCTCCTCCATGCTGGCCAGCTCCTGCTTCAGGTTGGTCATCTCGTTTTGGTGAAGCTCAGTCAAATCATTCAGCTGCTCCTCCAGTCGCTCGTACCTGGCAGAGGGACAGAGAGTGACACCAGCCCCAGCTCCCAAGCTGCCCTCTTCTCCCCAAGACCGACTCATTCATTCTCTCAGCAGTGACTCAACCCACTCCCCATGTCTGGCTCCATTCTCATTTTAACCCCACAACCATCAAAGCCATTGTTTATACAGCATTTCTATGTGCAAGGCATCATGTCAAGTATTTAAGCCACATTACTCAGAGGACCCCACCGCAGCCTATGAGATGGTACCAGTGGCGCCTCCACCTGACAGACTGGAAAACTGAGACTGAGGTAGGAACCTGCTAGGATCACACAGCTCTTGAATGGAGGAAATAAGGACAGACTGACTTTAACCTGGCCCTTTACCTGTGCTCAGATGCCCCCTGGGTACCAGGAATAAGTAGATGTAGAGGACATGACAACTGCTCTGAAAGCTATGAGTATTAACAGATGACTGTTCGGGAGAGCGGGGGGCCTAGGTTTTAGGCTGGGTCCTCCCTAAACTTCACAAAACTTCTTTATATGTAGAAAGAAAACAGAACTAATGAAAAGATCCCTGAATCCCAGGGGACAGGGGAACCTGGCCTCCAGGCTGCCCTTAGGGGCTTCCTCTGCCACTACATATTCATACTACAAATTTATGGTTTGGACTCATTCCATTTTCACAACCCTGTGACCAAAGGATCAGCATCATTTGCCCTTCAAGGACAATGCATAGTGCTCATTGCTTTGCCCAGGTACACAGTCAACAAGAGAGCTCGGAGATGATTCATGCCTATAATCCTAGCATTCAGGAGGCTGAGACAGGAGCACTGAAAGTCTGAACCCAGCCTGGGTTACACAGTGAGACCCTGTCTCAACAAAAACCAAACAAAATCCCCTACAAAAACAGAGCTGGGATGGGTGCCCAGGTAGCTGGCTCGTGTCACTGTCTTCACCAGAATCTCTCCAGAGAAGAGGTCATTAGTATATGCTTTTTTTTTTTTGGTGCCCAGGGATCGAACTCACCACTGCTTGCATGCAAGGCAGGCGCTTATGCCACTGAGCTAAATCCCTGGCCCCACTGTCCTTTTATGCACAGCCATGTAACACGTTGCAGGCCAGGGTGCCCAGAGCCTCTCGAGAGAGGTGGAATCCTCCTTCAGTCTGGAGGAAGTTCTCTGGGGCCTCTTCCCACCCTGGCCAGAGGCCCAGCATCCTGCTAGACACTTCTCGCGTGCATTCCCGCCTCGCCTCACTTGCCCACCTGTAGCGCTCCTCCTGCAGGCACTGCGTCATGTAGGTGTAGTCCCTCTGCAGCTGCGTCTTCAGGTCCTCCATGGAGTCCTCCAGGTGTGACTGTCCCTCCTTGATCTCTCGCAGCTCCTCCAGCAGAGTGTCTAGGTTTCCAGTGGTACCGTACAGCGTGTTAGACTTGGGGCTCCCCAGAGCACCCCCAGGCCCAGCCCCGGAGTTGCTGCCTGCCCCAGCCGAGCTGGCACTGGCACTGGAACACTCGTCATCACTGCCGTACTTGGGGCTGGACACAAGTGTGGCGCTGCCGCTCAGTGCCCGGGCTGCCTCCTCAGGAGCCCCATCTTCCAGGGGGTCCTTCAGGTGGGCGATGTTGTCAGCACTGCCAAACTTGTTGCGGATGAGGCTGGCGAACTCCCGAGGCTTAGACACCACGGCAGTGTGGGTAGCCTGCGACAGGCCAGAGAGGCTACCCTTTACGCCCTCCACCACGCCACCCCCGAAGCCACTGATGCCCGCGCGCATGTTGGCGCCCACGTCCTTGAGGCCCTGCTGCATATCCCGCAGCACATCCTTGGGCTGCCTCGAGGGCCCGTTCTGCTCAATCTCCTTCAGGCGCCGGCGGTAGTGCTCCAGCTTCTTGTGCAGCTGTGCGATGGTCTGGGCCGACTTCTGATTCTTCTTCTCAAACACCTGCTTGATGCGTGACACCTGCTGCTTGTCTGCATTGTTGGCCAGCTTCAGGTACTCCGCCACGTTGTCATCCCGTGCCTCCTGCTCAATCTTGATCTGCTCTGTGATCTTCAGGATCTTCTGGTGCAGGTGGTCGATGGCAGCTTTGGTCCGCTGAGGGTCTGGAGCCCCATCCGGCACATCCAGGCTGATGGGGCCATCAGTGTCACCATGGCTGGTGCCAGAGGGGAGGCTCAGGGCCACGAGGTCTCCCTTGTCACCCTGGGGATGGAGGCAAGAGAGGAAGCACAGATAAATCATGGGACCATGGGAGATAGCTCACCAGTATTCTTAGTGTTCCAGGGACACCTCTGCACCCCCTACCTGAGACATGGGACATGGGTGCAGGAAGGCCTAACAAGTTACTCAGAAACATAGCTGTGAAGACAGAACCTCCAGCCCAGAGCTCTTGCTGGACATAGCAGGTCAGAGACCTCACCAGGGAGCCTCAGGGGAGGAGACAGACTGTCCCAATGGACTCTGCCTCCCCACAAGGCTCTGCCTGGAGCAGCCTGTCCTCCAAAGTTGACCAGAGCCACTCTTTTGGCCAGACACCATCCTACCTACCCACCCTGCCTTAACTGACACAGCAGAGCAGGTCACCCACTTCTGCTGCTAATTCTCAGGGGCTCTGTTACCTTCCAGCTCTCTGAAGTCATCAGCAATCTTTTTCGCTTCATGAAGGTGGAAGCACCTGTCCTGTCTCCCAGACCCAGGAGAGAATTATGCCCCACCTCTGCCCTGGCCTGCAGGCCAGGTCCCAGGATCTGAAGTCTGTGGTAAGTCACAGGCTAAGGACAGCAGAGAACACTCTGGGAGGCTGTGGGCAGCAGCTGCCCAGCTGAAAAGGGTGAGGACATGCAGGAAGGAAATGAGAGTCCCTTCTGCCCGCCTCGAGGCAGGCAGGCTTCCCGAGCACATCAGGGAGGTGCAAAGCTCAGAGACGAGAAGAGAGATGGAGAAAAAGAGAGGGAGAAGGAAGGAGGTAACAGAAGAGGAAGATGGCCTGGAGCCGCCCTCCCAGGGCTGCTGCCCCACGCCTGCCTGCTGAAGGATCTGTCTGCAGTGAGCCAGGCCTTATCGCCATGCAACAATGGAAGCAGCAGGAAATGGCTTACCCCATGTATTTTTACACACAGCAATACCCTGGGTGAGTCCGGTCAGATCTTTAGGGGCGGGGAAACGGGAGGAGCCGTATGTGGGGTGGGGAAGGGGGTTAGACACAAAGAAAGTAGCCTGGTCACGTGCACTGGAACTGGAAACAGCCTGGGCCAGCCACAGGTAGAAGTGGCTCGTTCAACATTTGCCAAGGTGCACAGTTATAGAAAACACCACTTAAAACAAAAGCCCTGCCAAACCCAGGAGCCAGGGAGGGCAGGTTCTTGGGGGGCTTCCTTGGGTTATTTCAGGTCATGGGTTTTCTTAGGATGCAGGGTAGGAGAATGAGGCCTTCCTTACCTTCCGGAAGTCACATTGTCCTCCTGGGTTTGCTTTGGATCCCCCACCCACGCCATGTTCCCTTGTACTCCCATGCAGACTGCTGCTCGGAATGCCCAGCCCTTCATACATAGCAGCCTCTTCCCTGGCCTGGTCTCACCCTGAGGCCTAACGCCCACCATCTGACCTCAAACTCTACTCCCTGCTTGCTCCCCAGGGACAGCAAATAGCTCCTTTCTGCACTGTCCTGACTCTCAGTGTCCTGACCTATAAAACAGGTGTTACCCTCTCTCTCTCAAGTCTTTGCTGAGGCTGGCACAGATGGTACCTGGTGAGCACCTCAGCAGTGAGGGGCACACAGAAGCCTGAGTCTGACCTAGGACACACAATCCTTTTTTCCCTCCCAAGGCAGGAAAGGCTTACAATTAAACTGTGATCCTTTATACCAACAAATGTACACAATACTGACAGAACAATACAAAACTGTTTTGTTTTCCAATGCTAGGGGGTGAACCCAGGGCCTCCAATTAGCTAGGCAAGTGCTCTGTCTCTGAGCCATATCCCTAGCCCCAAATTAAGTTCTGTACACAACACCTGGCCTAAAGTGGCCCAGCCTCTTCCACTCCCTCCTGGGGGCAGCATCCAGGAAATGGACTTGGGGTTTGGTCGCACAGCTCTTCTGTGAGCTGGAGAGAGATGTCCATCGTACCTGCTGGGGGTCAGTGGGAGAGGCTCATGAGAAACGGATGTGATTATGCTGTGAAAAGCGGAAGTGTTTTTTGAACTATAGAAGAATGTGAAATAGCACATTCTCGCCTACCTTGGCGCCCTGCTGGCAGCTTGGCTCTTTCTCCCTTCAGTTTGGCATCTGGCTGGCTTACAAATAGAAAATCAGAGTCAAAACTGCCTATGAAATTTCTGTGAATGAGGAAAACAGACACACTTGGGGCCTGATGGTGGGGAGGCCTGAGATTCAGGTCCTTCTCCCCTGAAATCTCCCCCACTGTAGACTCAAGCCTGGGGGTTCTGCAGCAGGACACCAGCTGTTTTCTGCCCCTCCTACCAGGAGACCCTTGGGTGACATGAGGGTCCATAATGCCAAATTCCAGCCACAAAACATCTCTGCTGCTTCCCCTCCTGGGAACAACTCTGTCCCATGCACTCCCAAGGATGGAAGCAACTTTTCCCTTTGGCCTTTCAGCTTTCTGTCTAGCCCTCAAATTCCTAAAGGCCTTGCACAAGGGACAAAGATAACTTTACATGACCATGTATGCAAGGGGCAGCCCTCAGAGCCCGCCACTTTTTCACCCACTTAGTCCCAGTAACAGCCCCCCAAGAGAGGTAGCACTATTAGTCCTATTTTACAGAAGGGGAACCAGACCCACAGGTGAGAATTTAAGTGCCTTGTCCAGGACTACACCACTAGTGAGTCAAAGCCTGGGATTTGAGTCCTGTCCACCTCCACAGCCCAGGGCCTGGGCAAGTCCTACAAATCCGAACCTTGAGATGCTATGGCCTCATTGGTCTTGTGTGAGGGGTCTGATCCTCTGTGCCTTCCAGTGTCCTCAACCAAGGCCTGGCCTCACTTCAGAGCAACTGAAGTGGAACTTCCTACAGTAGGATTATGGGATTGTACACTCAACTGAGCAAGAGAAAGAAACGAACTCCCCAATCTGATGTCATCTGACATCTCACTGCCAGGTGCAAATCCTCCAAGTGTCTAAAGAGCAGGCTGCCTTCTGAAGTCTCAGAAGATTCGGTATAAGCACAATGACATCTCCAGCTTTTGGCACCAGAGCTGACCGCTCCTCCTAGTGGTCACCAGGAAGGCATCACTCATCTACCTGGCCCTGGACCCCTCTGGAATGCAGGGGTGTGCATGCACAGGCATGAGAAGGAGTGAGCAAGAGGAGGGGTGTGCACATGTGGAATGTGAGACACTAAGATCTTGTAGCACTTTTGCTCAAGGCTGAAACATGCCAGCAACCACTTAGAAGTGAATAGATATCCTGGGACAGCGTTCCCACCAGTGGCTGACTGAGTGATCACGAGACCTGGACTGAGGCTGAGCTCACCACTGCATGCAGCCTGGAGCCCAGTAAAGGAGCATTTGTTTTCAGTGCTCAAGAGCAAACCCAGGGCCTTGTTGATACCAGGCAAATACCCTACCACTGAGCTACACCCCAGCCCTTCGTGAAGGCATTCTAGGGCTGCTTCCCACACCAGCGTCCTCCTCAGATTCCAGGCCACACATTGCCCATCAGAAAAGCAGGCAGGTCAGGGATGAAGGCAGAGCCCACCTGCAGCCCCAGCCTGGTTGGGGCCCCTCTTCACAGAGTAGGGTGGCCTCACCCTGGTGCAGACCTCGTATTTCCCACATTCCACTCTGCTATCCCTACACACAAGCTGAATACAACCAAGAAGGCAGGCCCCCACCTCTCCCTCTCAGATCTCTAGTGCTGACCCTCTCAGCCTGGAAGAAAAACCCAGAATTGAATCCAGCCGTGAAGCCTCATGGACTCAATAGAACAGATGCTTGCAGGGCAAGTGGGATGGAGTAGCCCAGGGTCCTCTCTCTTTCTAGGATCCTCTCTGGCCTGGGAGTCTGAAGCAGGATGCCACTCCTTCTCGCCCCCAGTGGAGTTTTGTGGCACCTGCCACCGCCTGCTCCATCTCCAGCCACAGAGCATCCACACTCAATTCTGCTCCCTGAAGAGGAGGCAGCAGTCTGAGCAAGGTGGGAGCCCTCCCCGAGCCTCGCCCTCTCCAGGTGCCTGCATCATGGCAACGGCTCCCTTTCAGGACCAGAGGGAGACAGGGTGATGGGGCAAAGGCAGCCCAGGAGCTGGCAGACAGATGCACAGGAGGCACAGAGGAATCTGCTTTAATAGAGGATGGAAAATTAGAGCAAAAGGTGGGAACACTGTTGTTCCAAGTGATGGAATAGGAACGGGTCGAAGCCTAAAAAGAGAAAGATTTGCCAAAAAATCACTGGCAACAGGCCAGGATACAGACCTGTGCAAAGCAACAGAAAGGAGACTAAATTTGCAGGTGGATATAGATTTAGAATCTTGGTCTGTCGGTTACTGAGTATGTGTCCCTGTGTATGTCCCTATCCTTGAGCTGTATCTCCAGCCCTTGTTTTTTGTTTTTTGTTTTTGTTTTTTTGAGACAAGGTCCAGCTAAGTTATAAACCTCCCAGGCGAGGCTCAAACTTGTGATCCTTTGCCTCAGCCTTCCAGAATTCTGGGATTACAGGAGTATGCTACCACTTCCAGTTCTCATTACTCTTTCTGAAACATGCTTATCTCACTTGGAAAAGAAGGTTTTTATGTACCCTGAAGGTTACTGGAAGGATGAGATGAGACTATGAGTAAAGGACATATAGCAGGGGCTCAAAAGCAAATGCAAATTAAGATACTATATAGAATGACTATGATACATTTCTATAATCAAAATAGTCAGGGAGCATGTGCAAATGTTGGAATCCTCACACATCACTGGTGGGAATGGAAAATGGCACAGACCCTGGGGTAAACAGTGTGGCAGTTCCTCAAAAATCTAGACACAGAAATACCACATGACCCAGAAATTCCACTACTAGGTACACACCCCAGAGAACTGAACACCCGAGTTCTTCACACAAACACCGGATAGAATTCACAGAAGCTCTCTTCACAACAGCCAAAGGGTGGGCACAACTCAGAAGCCTGTTTTTAACCAATGAATGGGTAAAAAAAAAGAGTGCTTTCCCATATAATTATGCCATTATTATCTGGCCATAAAAGGAATAGAGAACAGATGATGCTAGAACATGAGTCTGTTTTTTGTTTGTTTGGTTGGTTTTGGTTTGGCTTTGAGATGGGGTATTGCTATATAGTTTAGGCTGTCCTTAAACTCACTCTGTAGCCCAGGCTGGCAACAAACTTACAGTGATCCTCCTGCCTCAGCCTCCTGAGTGCTGCAATTATGGGGGTGCATCACCACGCCCAGCTTTACATGGATGAATCTTTTTTTTTAAGCTTTTTTTTTTTTGCGGTATCAGGGATCAAACTCACGACTTTGAGCTTGCCAGGCAGGCACTTATGCCACTGAGCCAAATCCTCAGCCCTATATGGATGAATCTTGAAAGTAGTTTGCTAAATGAAGGAAGCTGGAGACAGAAGGCTGCCAGGGGCTGTGGGAGGGAGGAACAGGGAGTCCATGCCTAGTGGATATGGGTTTTCCCTGGGGTACGGTGAAAATGGTCTGGAATGGCAGGTGATGGTTCTACACTGTGGGTGTGCAAGTCTGGGTCCTCCATTGGCCTGTGCTGAGCTCCAGCCAGTGGCCCAATACAGTGGGTCTGTAGCAGGATGTTGGGTGTTCTCCACTGACTCCTGTTCACGGAGCAGAAGCCCCTCTGAGAGCACCCCATCCTAGGCTGAGCGACCACAAATACAGATTACCCAACCCTGATATCAGCAGACACAAATTCCCAGAGTTCCCAGCCCAGAGCAGGGCCTGGGGCTACACAGGCACCACTGCTCCTGTTCCAAATGGGCATAGAGTCTCACTCGGCCACTGCCAACCTACTCTGTCCAGATCCAGCCACCAGCACCACCCCTGAAGTTATGGCTCCTTCTCTTGCTCTATTACCTGAGATAGGCTGGATACTGGACAGGCCCCTGACCCTGGGTTAATCCCTGTGAACAGGCTGGTTAGGCTCTCAGAGAATAGGCAGGAAGATCATGATTCTTCTGCAATCACTGGCCATGGCAGACAATTGGGCAGGCCATGCTATACCCCTGCTCAAGGTGCCCACCAATTAGAGCTGGAGCCATAGGCCTTATTCAATACAAAGACACAGATCTAAGCCAGGTATTGTGGCCCATACCTGTAACTCCTGAACTCTGGGAGGATAAGACAAGAGCATGACAGGTTCAAGGCCAGCCTCACTTAGTGAGACCTTGTCTTGAAAAATTAAAAAAAGGACTAGGATGTAGCTCAGTATGAAGGCCCTGGGTTCAATACCCAGTATCAACAGGAAAATAAAAAATATAAAGATGCAAGAAGTACTGGGATGTTCTCTTAATGTCTAGGGACGACCAACATTCCCTATTCTTTCCTGGCTCCGATGAGACCTCCCCATGGCTGAAAAACACTGGGACTGCCCTTAGGTGGCCTGGGAAGTAGCACAGACCTACACCTCTGCCTCCCTGCAACACTAAATGAAGCTGGATTAGGCACACAGCCAGATTACAGGGGTGCTGGCTCAAGGTTCCCCAGCCCTGGGCCCCCATGACCTGCTAGGAGCTGCCACCTCCTTTCTGGTTTGAGTTCAGTGTCCTCCTGTTACCCTGGATATGGGATGTCTGCTGTCCATTTTGAACCCTAGCCCTGCAGTTGGAACCCCTGAGATGGGGAGGCAACAGGAGACAGTATCAGCTCAGAAAGTGTCCAGATACAAATGGAGCTTTGTGGGGAGAGGGGAAGGTACCAGTGAGGTCAACTGTGAACTGTACATCACGCACGGTTCTCTTTCTTGAGCAACATAAATGCATAAAACACTCTTCTTCAGCAGGAAGAAACAATTACCACTTCCAGGGAGTGTGTGCTGCACACCTACGATTCCCTTCACCATGGGGCTGGCAGACCCTTTCGAGATTCACAGAGAGCTCTTGTTAGGGTCTCCACAGCAGGCTGACACAAAGAAGGGGCCTCCTGTCCTATTTACCAACATTAAGGTCATTCTTGTGAGCAGGGGAGGGAAGAAACAGATCTTTTTGGTCTCCCTTTAGGAAGGCAGGGCATTCCTGCCATTGTGGGAATAAGGGAGGAGATGGCCTATGTCTCTTTCCAAACAGGTGAACCCACACAGGATGCTGCTCCTGCGGCTGACTCTGAGCTCAGCAGGAGAGCATGGCCCAGGAGCTGTCAGGCCCCGTGACTCAGCCGTGATGCTTCAACCTACTGACTGCTACCCAAAAGCTCTGATTCCAGCACACTTCTCAGGACAGAGAATACTCAGATTCCCTTCCTCTGCCAGGTCTTGAAAAGAAAGGGAGGCAAATCAACCAGGACAGGGAGGGAAGCCCATGATCAGCTAAAGTCCCTCAGCTCTGGGAGGCAGCCTGACCTTCTGGTGACACTGGGAGGGACGCACCTCCTCTGACACTCCAGCCAGAGCAGACTGGAGGAATTACCCCAATCCTGGGCCACCAAGTTGACCCCTGTTAGAGCTGGTGCATGGCCTGTGGAGCTGGTGGCTCTCCCTTCCTGTGGAGACATGTGCGCCACAGGAAGCCACTCAGTCCAGCTCTAGATGTGTCATCATGGTTGACCCATGTGCCCCCAGGTCGGAAAGGGAGAAGGTGGAAGGAGAGAGTCCACGCAGCTTGCATGGGTGCCTGGGACCCTAAGAACCTTTTCTCAGAGGGCAGGGAGGATACACGTGGCGCGGTGAGTATATCCGGACCTGTCCCCCGAGCAGAGAGGTAAAAACTGGCCTGCAATGGCAGGTGGAGGGCAGGGCACTCCCTCAGTGGCTTTGTTAGGCACTGCACATCCCTACAAGGGGGTTCAAGGTGCAGACAAGAGGAATTCACTGGCCTTTTCTGCCGCACTTATCCATCCTGAGGTAGCACACTGAGGCTGTCTGTTAGCACCCCTCCCCCTCCTCCTGCAACCAGCAAGCTGGCCCTGGCCCTAAGGGCCACTGTCCCTTTCTCCTCCCATCCAACCCTTGGCTTCCAGCCCTTCCCCCTCAGCACAGTCAGAACTACATCCTCCCTCGATCCCTGCCCTGCTGAGAACAAAGCCCTTTTGTCCACTTAAATATTCCACACTTTCACACCCACAGAACCTAGGTTGTGCCCCTGGAACTACCCTCTTCACCTTGGGGTCTCCTCTTTCTTCCACACTCCAGACTCTTCAAAAATCAAAGATTTTTCTCCTGGATTATCCTATGGACCACCAAGAAATTGGTGTGCCCAGGACCTCCCTACAGCCCTCTCTGCCATGGTTCCTCCTTAATCAGAAGCAATCACAGCAGGAGCACCCTTCCACTTAAGTTTTGTGCCAACTCTCCTGCACCTACACAGGGTGCTCTGTAACTGGAGGAAAAGAAGCTACTTCCGGGAAGCCCAGAGAGTCAGCAGAGCCACTTGCAAACTCCAGAAATGCCTTTCCCCACCCCAACAGGCGACATCCTTCTGCCCACCTGGAGCCTCACCTGGGTGGGCACTGTTTCCCAAAGTCGTGCTGGTGATGAGATATCAGGAGCTCTAAGGCCCCAGCTTTCTGAAGACTGCACTGGACCCCCAGGGTCATGGTCCCGGGAAAGCACTGGGCTTGCCCCAGGAAGCCTGGGCCTGCAAGCAGGTGTGCCTGAGCTCCCGGGCTCTGCAGCCGCCATCTCTGCTCTGAGGCCCAGCGCGGATTAGGGGCAGATTGCTCTGGATTTCCCCCTCCCCTGGGGCTCCCAGCACTTGCTCCTTCCATCTGGCAGGAAGCATGGAGGATGGCTGAGAGAGTAGGAGGACCACATTCTGATGAGGGGCCTCTCCCCCGTCTAGCTGGTCCCACAGTGGGTCCAGTGTGTGTGTAAAGATGCCCAGGCACGACAGGCATGGCCAGGACTGGGGTGGAGCACTCAGGGACACATGGTTCTACTTGCCCCTCTGTCCAGAAACTCTCCCAGAAACAGACAGTGCATAGCCTATCATCAGTCTCAAACAGAAGTGGGCCTCTTGGCTTGGCTTCCAGAACAGAAAGGAGCTCTCTCTAAAGTCAGAAAGGACAGCCTGGAGGAGGCTCCTTGGTAGATCTGAGTACAGCCAGCTTCATCCAGTGTCCTCTCCTTCTCTCCCTGCTGCCCTGTCCACTAGCTTAAGGCACCATCAAGATCAAGGCAGCCTCCCTACTCTTACAACCATCTGGGAAAGCCAGATAGCAGCCAAATTCATGAGAGAAAGTCTTCAGCCTTAAGATCCTATCGAAATCCAATCTGTCTTGGACACCACTGTGGCCACTTCTCCACTGGTCCCTGCCATTCATTTCCCGCTGTCTATCCTCCAGCACTAACCAGACAAAAACATTCAAGATACAGCAAATGGCAAACTCACAGCAGTCTCTTTCTCTTTGGACTTCATCTGTATAGTGGTGGTAGGAAGTCCTGTGGCCAGCAGAGGGGGCCAGAGGTCCGCAGTTGAGGGCAAGAAGCCGTGGTGACCAGGAGTCTTGGGTCCTGCTGGTCTCTAGCAGCAGTTTCTCAAGGCAGGATCACTGTTCAAAGCTGTGGATTCTTCACCTGCTTACAGATGTGCACCACTACGCCCAGCTGCAGGAACTCCTGAGGCACTCTGAGCTTAAATACTGAGCAGCAGCATGGGTCACGGTGACGGGGCAGTTCCAAATTCAAGAAGGTGCAAAGAGATAAGAGGGCCCACTGCTATCCCCAGGGGCCAGTTCCAACATGTGCAGCTAAAAAGCTCAGGAAAACGGTACAAACATGTGTGGTGGTCGATGACTGGAGGTTGTGATGTAAGAAGCCTGACAGTGCACATCACACAGGTCCCACTTTCTGTAGCCACCTCTGACCCACCGAGTCAGCAACACTTCTATACATGAATTCCCTTCTTCCATAAATGACTTCTATAAATGACTATAAATTACTTCCTCCTGCGATTCTCTACCTTTATGCTTTGGCACCAAGCCCTCCTCATGGATAATGGTTATTTGTAAATATAAGGTCTTACCATCGCTATCAAACTTAAGGAAGACAGTGATCAGATCTTATGTGCATCCAGACCCTTCGCTATGCCAAAGCAGGAGACTGTCCACCCCCCTCAATCCTGACATTGTAGAATAATGGACTGAAGGGGTTGGGGATGTAGCTTAGTGGTGGAGCACCAGCCTAGCATGTGTAAGTCCCTGAGTTCAATCCCCGGTACTAAAAAAAAATGACTGCTTTTCATGTAGTTACAATGGAAGGCAATCCATCTGCTCTGTCCTTAGCAACAGAGATGGCTAAGTCTTCTCACACAGCCAATAATCCTTCCCTCCTCTCTTTTTTTTCGGCCCCAGAAAGCTAAGATTTTTAAGCTTTTCTTATAGGCAATGACCACAGGGCACTGGAAGTGGAGATGGGGCTGAGCTCCTGAGCTTTCCCTGCAAGACAGGTCTTACCTCCCAGGCTGTCTGGCATCACAAAGGCTCTGAAGAAGAGAAAGAAGTTCCCACTGCTGGGCACAGTGGTGCATATCTGTAATCCCAGTACTCTGGGAGGCAGAGGCAGAAGGATCACAGATTCAAGCTCAGCCTGGGCAAGACTCTGTTTCAAAATAAGGGAGGCAGGGAAAGGAAGTTCAGTCCTGCAAGGCCACACAGCACCACGAAGATGACCCTTGGAAGAGTCTCCCCCATATGGGTATCTGGGGTCTCCAAGAGCAACTTAGCCATCAGCACAATACCCAAACAATGGGAAACAGAGGACTGGGAACAAGTCAACAGTCTGCTAAGAGAAAAGCAACAAACAGGAACCAGCAGATGTCTGCCAGACACCAGTAGGGACAATCTTTTCCCTCTGTGGAGCTTCTGTTATCTTTACACAAGAGAAGTGTCCCCAAGTCTACCAAGGACACAGAGCTTCCCACTCCAGGCATAGGAAGCCAGAGCCCAGGGCTCATGGCAGTGCAGATTTGGTTCCATACTTGCTAGGAACTCTAGGCTCTAAGCCTGTTTCTACACTCATAATGGAGGACTGTGGAGAGCGGAGACTAAAGGTGAGTGTGTGTGGCAGGATGTGCCAAGGTTGAGCTCCAGGCATGGGACATACTTTCCTTCCAGGGGCTGGCAGAATCCTCAGGAGTCACCAATATGCCTGGTATACATCACGATTCTGCCACTTGCTAGTTGTGTGGCCCAGAGAGAACTGTCTGTGCTTCTTCATACTGCAAGGGAGACATGCGCAGACACGGAACAGCCAAGAGGAGGGGCTGCGGGAATGAGTGGGCATCAAGAGATAGAGCAGAGGGCACAGCTGAGCCTCAGAAACTGCTGCTGTGTCTGTCTTCCCAGGCACAGATGCTACACATGAACGTGCTCTCCCAGGACCCTACTGAGGATGCTAGACACACTGTAGTTTTCACCGAAATAGGCTAGCCCTGAGGCCTCCTAGCTACACATACACACGTGTGCACACACCCGCACAGATACACAAAGCACAGTATTCTGCACCACACTTAGAAGACTTGGCCTAGGACAGAAGAGGCCAGAGAAGTAGTTGCCAGAAAGAACACAGCTCAGAGTGGCAAGCAGATATGGGAGAACTGGCAAGAACATTAAAGTGAGAGGCTCTAAAAGGACATGAGGTGCAAAGCCAAGCTCCTTTTGCAGAGAAGGTGCCACTGGGTCAATGCCATCACGTGTACTTCCTAATGAGCTTTGGCTGCCCCCCTCAGCCACGGCAGGGCAGCAGCTAATGGTCCACAGGACTAGGCAGCTGAGCTGCAGCCAGGGTCACTAACCTCACTCTCTGTCCTTCCAAGCAGATCCTGAGCCTGGGGACCACAGGTGGGCTCTTGTCTAGGGAAGGACACTGGAAGAAAGCTCCAGCCGGTTGGGCACAGTGCTCCTCTCTGCAGGTCTACAGCGCCTAGAGCAGGTCTGCAGATCTAGAGCACTCACTTTCATTGGATCCCCCATGGTTTCACACCCCCCTCCCCAGACCCTTTTCCTTCCCTTAATGTTTCCTTCCCTCCTTTCTTTAGTACCCTTCTAACTTTAAATACTTTCATTTGTTTTGTTTTTCCTCATTCCCTTCCTATTCGGAAAAGATTTTCCTACTTAACTATGCTGTCTTTAAAAATAAATAAAAATTGGTCTTGGGTTTAGCTCATCAGCAGAGCACTTGCCTAACACGCATAAGGTCCTGAGCTCAATCCTAGCTCAACAAATTAATTAATTAAAAAGCACAATCCACACATTGTGAAGGGTGGGAAACCTGAGAAGTCATAGGTTTTAGGAGCAAAGACGAATGCTGCTAAATTTAGTACCTTATTATACAAGGTACTAAACAAATCTCAGGCCTCCTATGCACTGTGGAAATCTGCAGTGAGGATTCCTCCTCAGAAGGCTGGCTGCTTTCCCGATGCTCACCAAGCACCTCCTGGAAACAGGGCTGGGGAAGTGGTCATTATTCAGAGATCCCTTCCTGAGGCTGCTGCGTTCACTTTCAGACCCCGCCAGAGGTGCCTCTTGTCAGGAACTCAGGTTACCAAAAAGCCCCGCCTTTCCTTGGGGCCAAAAGAGAAGGTTAATGTTTCTCAGCTGTACCCCAGCAACCAAGGTGGGTGCATATCCTAGGAGTATGTAGGGAGACAAAGCCCCAGGAGCTGGAAAAGCGGCAAGGAGGCCTGGTGGGGAGGGGGCTGCACCATGGCATGAACACGCACACAGCACATGGTTTTTTCAGCTGCTTCTAGAGGGGAAGAAGTCACCTCTTCCATCAGAAGGTCCTTTGCTGATCTAATGCTGTGGACAGTCTGTGCTCCTTTCTTGGGCACAGACATGAGGCCAGATGCTGAGCAGTCAAAAGAACCCCCTTGCCTTAGGCAAATCAAAATTTGTGCCAGGCAGGTAGAAAAGATGATGATTTCATACATTCATAGTCACTCTGTGTCCCAGAGGAGGCTATACCAAGAACAGGCCCTGAAGAAAGTGAAAGCAGCCCGGAAAGGAAGCGGCGCCTCCCTGCTGGGCAATTTTCAGGATACACAGTGCCTGCCACCCCACCCTATTTGCCAAGAACAATGGAGAATGATTCCTTTCTAAAGCAGAGGACTGAAACACAGAACTTCTGTGGGCCTCTGCTGACTCAAAAGCTCTAGGCTTACCATGAGCTGATGTGATTAAATGAGAAATGTGCATGAAAGCACTCTGCAAACTGTGGCCTGCTGTTCAACTGACCATTGATGTTAGGAAGGCTTTCAAAGGGGTATGACAGGCACATCTTGGGGGGCATGCCATCAAGCTCCCAAGAAGTCAGTACACAGCGCAGGGCCCAGATAATATGTGGGACTGAAGCTGCCTTCTCAGGCAGAGAAGAAACCTTATATAATGAAGTTAGTATTACAGGGCACTTGTCTTTCCAGGCCAGGGTTTGCGTTTCCAGTTGCCCCAAGAAGGCCTCCTGCTCACCGTATCACCATGGATCTGAGTGAGCTTTTGAGCATGCTGAATTATTCACCAGCTATGGATACCTGGGGTCCCAGGTGCTAGGTATCCAGAGCACTATAAGAAAGACTAAACAGACACAGTGAAAACTTCCAGAACCAGGCTTGATGGTGAAAAAGGACAAAAGCAGCAAAGGATCTCTGAGTTAAGTTTCTGGGGGACTTGGGAAGGGTGTGCCAAGAGAAGCCTGAGAAGCTGCTTATGACAGCACCTGTCCCTGGAGAGAAAATGGAGGTGAGAGAGGATTCCTCCCAGCCCCTGCTGCAGCTCCAGGGAACTCTGGATTCCCTAGGAGCCAAGGAAGAATGCAGTGGGGTCCAAGCTTCATGTGTGCTTCTGTTTTAAAGCCCTCTGCTCCATGCAGCAGGAATAGAAAAAGTCCCAACTATGCCTGGGGGGGGGGGTAGGATGGGGGGAGCACAAGCAGAAGCAGGGATCAGGTTAATGGTACTGTATTTCCATTGCCTCATCTGGCACCAAGGGGACCAGGGTCACATTTCTCATCTCAGGATTGCAGCAGATTCAGGGAAGATGGTGCCCTCATACCTGGGAGACATGTAACAGCTCCCATGATGCATGCCCACATCTCTGATGGTAGCTCCATGCTGTCTGGAGCTTGATGACAGTTCTTGCTGCTGGGTATCATCGGTTTTGCTGTTGGGACTGACACCTGAACCTTGAGCACACCTTCCTCTTGCACAGTGCACAGTGTATCCAAAGCAGCCAAGGCCAAGGTAGCAGTGTGACCCTGGCCAGCAGTTCCCACCTGCACGGACTGGCATCATCTCAGCACCCCACGCACACCCCACCAGGGGTACAGACAAAGAGCTCCCCTCTCACAGTGTTGGCCTGGGCTCAGTGACAAGGGTTAAGGAGGCCTGACCTTGGACCTTGGCTACGTACTTGGGAAGTTACTGAATCTTACTCCAGTGTCCTGGGGAATTGTCTACTTCATAAATGAAGGCTGATTTGGAGAGCAAGGGACCCTCCATCTAGAAAGAACAGCAGCATGGTATCCATGGGGGGAAAGATGACTAAGGGCCGAGGCCAGTGACCTACTAGGGTAATGGAAATCTGATTGGTTCTAAAAGCCAAGAGAAGGCTGCTGCTTGCTCTGGTGTCAGAGCTTCAGCAAGGAGCGCAGCCCTCCTTTTATTGCCCCTGTTTTGATTGGACAGGTCTCTGACAACATAAAGGGCTTCGCTTGAACATAAAAAGCATTAAACTCAGACTAAAGGAAGTGAGACCTTGGCTCTCCAGGAACAGGCAGATGTGCCGCAGTGACAGTTCCCAAAGGCCCTGGGAAACCACCACTGAGACAAGGAGGAAGTTACTGGCAGATCACCGTGGCCCACCCTGGCCTGAGAGGTATGTGGCAGCCCAGCATGACCTTGGAAGTCCCCTCTGAGGAGCCATATGGCTACCTCTGGATCTCCTTCTGTCTGAGGGACCTTTTCATGTAGAGGAAAGAGGACAGAAGGAAAGATGTGATGGAGTGGAGGAAAGGGCCAGAGATGGCAGCCCTCTCCAGAGACACGGGCATGTGTCTGTGTGACTTGGAAGGCAAAAGCAGCTGCACCTGTGTGAACAGGCTGAGCGAGCCCACTGGCCCTGTCACAAGGCTCCTGAGGCCTCCCATGTACTCAGGCCTGCAGCTTAGACAGCAGGGGCCAGCAGGCAAGTCATCTGCCATCCTCAACTGCCCAGAGGACATGTTTGGAACCTTCTCGCAGCATGGCCTGCCCCACCCCCTTCTGAGCCAGCAGGCTCCCAGACATAAATAAATCAGGGGCCCTGGGTGCCTGCCAGCATCTCTGGCTTCCTGGCCAGAGCTGGAGCTAAGGGCAGCCCCTCACTTGCGATCCCCTTGGGTAAACAGGGCATTTATTTATACTGGGTAGAGAAGAAATCTTGTTGGACAAATCTGGTGAGGAGTGTGCTCAGGACAGGGGTGTGATCTGCGCTGGCTTAGATGAGAAAGCAGTTCCACGGGCCACAGGGAGGCATCCAGTCAGGACAGTGTCTTTCCACCCCCACTTGGGGACCCGGCCGCCTCCCCCAACTGCCTACCTTCAGAGGCAGCAGGCTGATTTGTCAGGAAGAATCCTAAGGCTGCCCAGGTACCCGGCTGCACACACAGGAGGGTACGGCAAGGCCAGGCAGAGGTCAGCAGCCAATACCTCCATGCCACTCCCTTCTTGACACCCTCCAGCCAGCTGCACATTGCACAAGCCCAAGGTGGGCCAGGACAGTGGGAAGAGGTTCTGAACAGGACTACAAGGGTGTAATACTCAGCCAGGCATGGGAGAAGAGAGAAAAAAGAGAATACTAGCCTCAACCAAATGTTTCCAGGAGCCGCTGTTTAGAAAAGAAAAAAAAAAAGAAAGAAGTGTGGAGGATCTGTCTGCTGTCCAAGGAATCAAGCAGCCCAGCTCCAGCCCAAGGTTTCCTCTTTGGACTACACGACCTTTTGGCAGGGGTTAGGACAGCACACAGCAGGGAATGGATGTCACCACATTCTCCACACATCTGCCATGCCCCCAGTACGCCAGCAAACCCAGACTTTTTCCCAGTTTACATATGTAAGACAGCATGGTTGTCTTTTTTAGAGTCACGCACATAGTAGAATGCAGGAGGGTGGGGCCAAGCGTATTCTGCTTGTTTTTAGGGAAAGAACAAGTACAACTTCAGTTGAATTGTGAGGGAACAAACGAGAATCAAATTGCCAGGGCAAGGCTCAGCCCCTTCCGGCACTGGGAGCCCTATCTATACTGTCACACCCTGCTCCCCCTGGGCTCCATGTCCCCTGCTTTCTTAAGGTGGGGGCAGGGATGAACCCCTTAGGGCAGCTGAGAACTTTAGATGCCTCCAGGGTGTTTTGGTAACTCAAGCCCTGCCAAGCCGTTCTGGTCCGAATGCCAGCTGGTGAGTTCCAAACAATGGCAAAGGGTGTTGGGCTGGGGAGGCTTATGAATTAAAAATAGATGCTAGTAATCGCCAGGGAGCCTGCAGAGAGTATGTGGGCTGTGTTTACTAGAGAAAAGAATACTTCCTATTCATACCAGAGACCCGGGTGGAACCACCCGGCTTCTCGTACCAACCAATGGCCTCTGGGTCTGGGAGACTTGGCTGACAGCTTCAAGGTTTACCAAGGGCTGGAAGACCCCTTTCCCATTGGACAGGACTCTAGGGCCATGTCCATCTGGGTCAGAAAGGCTTACAACTAAGAAGACAGAGCAACCAAGAGTTGAAGTCATCCTCTCTGGCTCCCTGAACCGGCTCCCTACAGCACTGCACAAAATGGTCCTCAGCTATTTTAGGGACTTCTGTTGGGTCTTGTAGACAGAATAGAGACACAGGAACTGCTTTTTCCCTGCCAAGACCTGGGTGCCTCTTTTGCTCTGGGCCTCAGTCTATTGATCTATAAAATGGAGATGGTAT